TGGGGGTGGTAGGTCATGCCATGCAATTCCTGTCCCTGCCACTATGTGGCGGCAAGTGTTTGAGGGTGCGCTGGCCCACTTGGGGAGGGGAGGCTGTATGTTGGCAAACTGGCTCTCCGTGTCTTTGTCTGTGAAAAGTGGTGCTTTTATCGAAGGACGGTGGCTGACGATGCTGGGGAGTCTTGCTATTCTACATTTGAGCAAAGTTAAATATCTACGCCCATATATAGTAAGAGTTGGACTGTAGCTCACTTTGCATAAACACATCCCTTCCTTTCATGGTGCTATTCTGGATTGCTGCAAAGCAAGTCACTAATACTGTGTACATGTATAATTTAGTCCTCTAATTTAATATTCCCAGTATTTAATTATCCATATATCAGCTTGTGCAATATATGAATTAAAAAGTCTAGGGCTAGACAGGCATTGACTTGAACACAAGCCTGCACAGAGTATGATGAATGAACCTAAATTCTCCACTCTCCCTCCCTCCCTTTCCACGGTTGCCTCGCTCCTTCCTTTCTCGGTGATCCCTGGCCTGAATGAGTCAGATGGGCACTGGGCCAGCGCAGAAACCCAAGTCTCATTGGGTCTTTTAGGGCCCCAGCTAATTGGTCGACTCATTTCCTACTATCTTCCCATTTCAGTGCTCCGGCTTCAAATTTGATTGGCCGGGTAACTGAGAAGCCTACGTGTCATCTGTGGCAGGACAGTGCTGCCTGGACGGAGGCATTGTAAATACATTACCGATAAACCAATTACCTATTTACATGTATGCTTCGCCATGAACGATCTTCGGTATCGACGAGGTGGGCTTTGTATACCTTTGTCTGACGTATCACGGCATGATTCGGTGAAAGGATACTTAAGGGGGCCAGAAAAATAAAGTGTCTTTAAATGGAAGCGCAGTGACCGGAGCTCATCTGCATCTAGCGGCGGTTCTTGCAGAGCGTGTAACGGGAGAGAGCAATTATGACAGGGCTGCGTTGGTTCCAAATGAGTAAGAAGCTCAGCTGTGGACCTAATAGGAAATTACTGGGTGCTTTCAGAATGGAGGTGGAAAGGCGCTAAAACACAATGACACATATATCAATTACAACTGGAATTTCAAGTTGACATCTTCTTCCTTGGGTGAGCCGTGCCGGATCGGCACCATTATTCACCGGAGCCGGAGATACGGGCGTGATTTAGAACCGCATCTCCCAGCAGCCCCAGTCGCACGAGCTGGCGAGTCGCACCGGGCACCTCGCCGAATGAGTTTTAATTTTTAATTTGCGCAGGAGTAAAGATGATATCCGCGGCGCGCGGCAACGGCTGTCATTTATTACAAAACCCTGCCGGGAGTTATTTTGGTCGAAATGAGAAATGAACAGAGAGGGTCCTGCTCGCAAACCGACTGCCCCCCCTGCGCCTTCCGACTGACTGGAACGCGCATTGGCGTGTGAGTGTTCTGCACGCTCGTGCGCGTGCACATTCATGCACTCTCCCGTCTGGTGAAAAATTGCGTCGCTGGATCAGATCATAAGGATGAAGCTGCCATCATACACGATCCTTAATATTCTCTTATTAAGGCGGAATAGGCTACTATATTAATTCAAAGTTAGAATTTTAGAACTGAAATGTAGTAAGAGTTGCCATAAATCCAGGCTCACAGCACGTAGCCATGGGTGTAACTGACACTAGAAAGGTCACGGAAATATACATTTTGCCCATCAGATTTAGGGCAATCATAAAAATGACTGTAATGAAAAAACCTTTAGAGCGCTATTGCAAAATAGAGTAGCATGTCAAAAAATAATTTTAAAAATGACAGAAAATAAAACCTTGCATTTTATTTAATACACAGTTGGATGAGCGGTTTCAGTGCTTTTTAATACTTACTGTTGCTATTTTTGATTATCGCCACTGGTATCACTCCAAGTGCCCGTGTGTGAGTCTCATTTACCGAGCGGGGTTGAGTAATGATCCTATAAACCAGTTTTAATAAAATGCCCCCCCGCCCGGCGTGTCCATGACGGCGGGTGCGGCGGATTGGCGCAGGGCTATCTTCGGGCTCATCCTAATGAGCGCGGATTAAAGCGGATGATCCTGGCTTTGCGGGCTCCCTTCCGAGGCTGCCCAGGTCAGGCGCGGTCCGGGGTCCTCATCTCGTACCCGCGGATGATAGCAGTAATAAACCAAATGGCTTCCCCTTTATCTTGACAGACGCTTCCTCAGCTGGCTCCCGCCTGCAGTGGACCTTTAATAGCTGCTTGTTTCTGCATTTCCTGATCATTTATTTTTAGTCTCATTTTTTAAGGGAGGTTGGTCTACGTTTCAGTTCAAATAGGGGGGAAAGGTTGATTGGTCAGGTTTATTAATGATGTCACGTCTCCGCTTATTTCCATCGTCCCTCAAACCAGCATGAATCTCCCATCTCATTTCGTCTGTGGAAAAAACACACAGGAAGAGGCTCAGCTTACATAGACCGGCCTTGAATGTGCTCCATGCAAAATGAAATGCCAGACATCCGAGGGTCGCCTAGAACAACATGTGACCATCCATCCCTACATCCATCTATCCTCTAACCAGTTGTCTTGGGCAAGCTCTGGAGTCTGTCCCACGCATCAAAGGGCACAAGACTGGGTTACACACCCGATATGGGATGACATGTAACCATTGATGATTAATTAATCTACTTTGTCCCCCACTGTTGGCTAGGGCACATCTGTGACTGACTTCCAACGCCATATTGCCACCAAAGCACCCCCAGTCTGTTTTTACATAATCGCACCAGTATTGTTCCCATACCAAGAGGCATGCGAAGGACACCCAGAAAAAAAAGCCCGAATTTCCATCCATCAGTCTTATAACTGATTCCGGACAGGGTTGCAGGGAATAGTTTAATCATCATTATTGAAATTATTATTTGATCTATCGTTATTTACCAGTGAAGGTGCCAGGCACCTGCCCCATGGCTGGCTGGGTATGAGCTCCCGATGTGGGAGGGGACGCTGAATGAAAACCCCGGCCCCGCTCGGGGAGGCTGCAGCGCAGGCGGCCAGACGCGCCGGTAATTATTATTGTGCTTCGCAGAGCTCGCCCGAAATAATGGCGGCTGGCGCACTTATCGGCACAAAGCGGGGCGCTAATGAAACTCGAGACAGAGAGGGCTGGCGCTGAAGTGGTAGTCAGAATGGGGGGGGAATCCGCGCTGGGGTGAGTTGGGGGGGGCGGGGGATTGAGACGCAGGCTCCCGCCGCCGCCGCGCTTGTTTCGGCTGCCTGGCGGGCTGCCATCATCCGCGGTCGGAATTGATATGGAAAAGGGTGATTGTTAGGGATAACTGATGCTCATTTTCTACCTTTTCCTGTGCCCTACGGGGAGACAGTGACAGGAAACTGAAAGCCCAAGAAAGGGGGGAAGGGCGTGAGGTAGCAGCCTATTTTAAGACCCGTTTTAAAATTAGCTTATTTAGAGCATGCACAAAAAAAATTCATTATTATTAATATTATTGTCACATTATTTGGAGGAAACATTTACTTTGGAGTCATAAACCAAGCCCTGGTCTCATCCTTTATTCCGGAAAGCTCGTATTTCTAAGTAGGAAGGACTCCAACTTAAGGGAGTAGGTGTCGGGGGATCCTTCATACGCTTCCAACTCTGGGGATACTAGCATTTTTCTCTCTCAGATTAATGCTAAAGCAGATTTCAGGTGCTCACAAACACACACACAACCCCATAGTGATGTACAGCTGTGTGGTGTAGAATGCCGCAGTGTCCCTCGCTGGGAACGTGCACTTCCAGCTGCGCGACTCGTCAGCCCGGCACCACAAGCCCGTACAGACCAGCGGCCTCTAATTTTAGCAGGTTTTGCAGGTGTGATGGTCCAAAGGTCCAGTACTGTCTTGACTAAACAATGTGGTGCAGTTCAGACCGGCCCAGACAGATTAACGGTACCACCCGTGAACCCCCCCCCAAAAAAAACCAAAAAAAAAACAAGTAGCCTCCTACGAGACTCTGTCCTCCTATTGGCCAGACCCTGTGGCGAAGTTGCCCCGTCACAATGAAGAATCGATGTACACCTGCTGGCTGGTTGTCCTGGAAACGATGCCCCCGGAATTTGCCGGGCCCTGTCTGCGGCCGGTGCAGAGAGATGAGGCCAGATGCCAGAGGCGGGAGCTGACACAGAGTCACACACGTGACGGAAACGCTCAGCCCCTGCTCTTTGTGTATTGGGCTGACCCTTGCAGTTAGAATTATTACTTTCATTTTTCAGGTTTTTGTAAGTTTCCCTCTTTTCCCCCTTTGTTTTCAATAACCTAGAAAATGCAGAGAGTGACACAAAGAAAAATGGAAATCGTTAAATAAAGGTGATGTGGAAAATATATAGAGTCCTGATATACTGAGCGGAATCAGACTCTTCATGTGACCCACTAGTCCCCAGAAAGATGACTCTGTATTTACATCCTCTTTTGTGCATCAATCAGTTGGGTCTGTTACCAAGCCGGACATCTGCAAGCCAGCATTGCATGGAAATTAGGCGTCTTCTTGGATGGTGTCTTATCAACTGGCTCAAACTTAAGGAAATCTGTGCAGAAGTCTTTGTTTCTAACAGATGCATCTTTACTCTCTGATTTAAGGTGAACGTGATCTTACTGAAACAGACGCCAAAAAAGGAGACATGAAGCTCAAGTGTTTCTGAAAACATCACTGGGGTAAGTGGTGCTTCTCTGCCATTGTTTTCCTCACTTTTCAGTCGTAGACGTGAATGCCAGCTCTCATTCCACAATATTCTCTGGATAGCTGCATGATCATATCCAATTTGGGGCCTTTTGTAGAATGAAATACACCAATGCAGCGAGTCTGCCTGACGTCACAAGGCTATTACTGAGTCAAAGCCACTTCCCGCGTGTCTGATTTCTTTAACGTATTGAGCAGAGGGTCATCTGAAGCTCTTAGATGCTCCATGGTTGAGTGAGACCTCACTTTTAGTTTGTAAACGCATGCTGATATTTGTCCCGGGTTCGCTATGAGCAGCTTGCCGTTGTCGAGTCTGAGGAAGAAATACTCCATCACCTATATGTCAAAGCAGGTTAACTTGATAGATTTCTGCAGGATCCGGTTTTAGAGTCCGTCCCCCAAAGACACTGATGAGAGAGAAAATATCAATCACTCAATAACTGTTCTTTTTTTGGTATTTTTGCCACTGATCTGTCACGAGGGAGTTGGCCAGGGCCTACAATCTTGAGAAGAAAACAGAATTGGCCAATGAAGGAAAAGCTGGGCCGTACAAAGGAGACGTAAAGCAGTATCGAAGTTGGCAACACTGAGTTGTGGTGCTCCTGGTAAACCAACAAGGACAGGAACTGTTTATAAATGTTTCCAGTGGAGTCATTTAAGGTCCAATGAGGAGGAGGGATGTGGTTCTGGAGCCAGGGCCATAAATGGAAGGCCGGTCAGAAGCACGATCCGGCGAAACACGACGGGAGTCGGATCAGAGAAAAACTACTCGACGGTCAGAGGAGCGTTTCCCAGCTGACCTGCACATTATAATAGTCTTCTCAGAGGTGGAGATTTCAGGTCCAGAGAGTGCAAATCCAGACCAAGATGCCGTTTCAACCAACCAGCTGAGTACTCTGTGACTATGACTCTTTATACTCAACTGGTTGGTTGAAACAAAACCTTGGTCTGGATTTGTACTCTCTGGACCTGAAATCATCACCACTGAGTCTTCCTACCATTACATTGACGACGAGAGTGGAGATTTCCGGGCACCATCCGCCCCAGGGAGAAGGTGCTCACTCCATATGTAGGCGCAACATCTGAGGTGTGGTATGGAGGGGTTACGCAGGGCTGAGGGGAACATTATACGAGGGAGTGCTATCCAGCTTTGGCCTGGTGAATTATTACAGCAGTGACTGTGTCTGCATATGTCTCACTCCCCTGTGTGTGGCCGGGGCTGTGCATTCAGTGTCAGAGGTCACCTCACCTCTATTTTGTCCTGTATATGATTCTTCTGCCATGGGAGCATCTGCTATGTATGGAGAATAAAATCCAGGAGCTTTAGGGTTAGGAGTGAGTTACAGGGATTCTCCCAGCCATGACCTGCCAGCATTCAGGTAAGCGAGCCTGCTGAGCCTTCAACAGGCCGGACATGAGATCACCTCACCTTATAGAACAGTGTCGTCTTTAACGCTGTCTGGCCAGCATAATGTCTATGCAGGTTCACCGTTGGTGTCACGGGATGCATTTTCTCCGCCTTAGAGCGCATTTTAAAATTCTTCTGGCAGTTCCGTCTGACTTAAGAGCAGAGATGGGTAACTCAGATCCAGAGACCATAAGTCTGGACCGAGATTTTGTGTATCACAGTCACAACATACTAAACTGGTTGTTTGAAAATATTGGTCTGGGTTTGTACTTTCTGGACCTGAACTATTCACCTCTGTTTGGGAGACAAATTAGCTAATGAATTTCATTTTACTGTCCTCTCATAAATAATTTCATAGTGGCTGGGAATCAAAAATGTGTCTTTTATGTCCCTGTAAATGTCCTTGTTTTGGCCTTTATGCCAGTGTTACGGTGGCTGCCCCTCTCCATGTCAGTGAAGATCACACCAGCAGCCAGTAGAGCTGCTCTAGGCAAAGGGCTGACCGAGACACAGTCAGTACAATCGCTGAACTGGTACCAGGGAATCAATTTTCTACTACCAAAGGCATTAAAAACATACATATTTATTACGATGGAAACATCCTAAAATGTACATCTAGTGGTGTAGTAATGCAGACTCATCACTCTGCTTTTATTTATTTATTTGTTTGTTTGTTTGTTGCTCTGAATTATGGAGGAAGCTCTCAGCTCTTTCCTGGCGTCATGAAGAGCTGTGATCGGAATAATAAAAATCAATCGGAAGCGTATTCTGAAGTGTTTTGGAGACTGATTGGCGCATGACTGGCTCTGGGGGGTCCCTGTCTAATCCCGCCCCCTGGCTATCGATGCCCAGCCTCTTCCTGAGGGGGACAGTTTAGATCTGAATGCAGGAATGGTGCTGTGTGGGCAGATTTCCTGGGGGGGTGGACATGGCTGGTGAGGGGGGTAATGGGTGGGCCAGGGTTCTGTTTAATTAAAGCGTCTGAGATGGCGTTTGCTGTGATTGGTTGCTTGGGGGAGGCGGAGCCACCGCCTGGCCCCTCCCACAGCTCCTTCCACGTAAAGCCAGACGAAACATGTGGGGAGGTACTGAGTCTCCCACGCCTGCGTCTTCTCACACAGACGGTGCGCCCGTTAATTATGCGTCCGGAAGGATTCACCCTTTAATGCATTCAGCTGGGAGAACGGCAGTAATGCTAGACGACTGCTGGCAAGAATGATCGGTTTGGGGCCGTTTGCACAAAGCTACTGTTGCACCGCAGAATTCCAAACACGGATGTGATTCAATTAAACTTAAATGGAGTATTATGCATTAAAATGTGGAACAAGGATGGCTTCCTGCGTCAAGTCAGCCTGGGGGGGTGCTGGGGTGGGAGGTAGGATAAGCACGTACCCCCATACTCCTGTACCGTCGTGCTCCCGTTCCCGCTCCTGAGCTCCAGGCGACAGCTCAGCCAGGGAGTGTTTGACTAAACACGGCACTGAGCTTCTCGGCCGACGGCTTTTTGACCAAAGAAGGGTGAATCTGCCGGAGGCTCCCCCCAGCGTGGCTTCTGGCTCAAAGAGGGTGGGGCGGAGTGGGTAAGCTTTTAAATCTTTGAGTTTAAATTTCCCTCGAACATGGGAGGGGGAGGAAGCAGAAGGGGGGACGCTCCGGGTCGAAATGCGGCGTGCGTGAGCTCATTAGCGGGGATGTTCTCACACGTCATTGACGCGCGTTTTAGTCCGATTCATTGATACGGGGCCAGGCGTCTGGCCGATGGACAGAACGAGGACAAGCAGGAGGATGGATGGAGAGAGGGATGGAGGGAAAGTAGAATGAATGAACGTTCCACGTGGCTTTGCTGGCGGGGCTGTGTCAGATCCCGTTTCCATGACAACCACAGACTCCGCCTCCTGATGGGGAACGTTCCGTTAGCGGGTGCGTGCGGTGGTGGGGGGGGGTCATAGGCTAACATTGAGCAGTGGGGGGTGACAGGGTTATGCGAGTGACGTTATGATGCGTAGGTCCAGTGGAATGTCAAATTAAGTTACTTATTGACCAATCTTTGCCCTCTGTCCTTATTCAGGGTTCAGCACTTTGTGACATAGACCCCCCCCCACCCCACCCTTACCCCCTTAACCAGGGCAGCTTGAAAAAAATCACTGTTTACACGTCGAGGCTCCTGTCACAGCTGATATCAAGCCTGTTTGTTCGGCAGTTTAAAAGGGAACAGAAAGGCGGTGGGAGGTGGGGGGGGGGGAGGAAAAGCTGGTAATTTACTCGTCTGGGGGGGTGGGGTGCAGCTCATTGGTAAGTGCAGAGTGTAGCCGCTGGAGATCTGCCGTCACATGGAGTCAGTGTGGTTTCGACATAAGCCTGTGCAGTGGGCCTTATCCACCATGTGACAAGCACTCCATCACACTGGGGGAGGGGGGGGCACTGGTAACAGGCTCCAGGTGGAGAGAATTTTACCACCACGCCTTCCAGGGCTTGTCTGTCACGGGGAATAAAGAAAAATCACAGCCCTTAGTGGGGGGGAGGGGGGAGGGCAGAGAAACCCTGTCACTCTAAACCCTATCAGAGCTGCTCTCGCTGGAGCCCTGGCCCCGTTTACGCTTCCGTAATGTATAGTTGAGACTGGGGTGCCAGGTGCATTTCAAGGGCGACACCCAGTCGATGCGACGGGAGCACGCGCAGCCTCCAGAGACTCTGAGGATGACTGTATCCGGGGCCTCCAGAGACTCTGAGGATAACTGAATCCGGGGCCTCCAGAGACTCGGAGGATGACTCTATCCGGGGCCTCCAGAGACTCTGAGGATGACTCTATCCGGGGCCTCCAGAGACTCGGAGGATGACTCTATCCGGGGCCTCCAGAGACTCTGAGGATGACTCTATCTGGGGCCTCCAGAGACTCTGAGGATGACTCTATCCCGGGTACAGAGGGAACATACAGCGGGATTAACTGTCGGGGAGGGGGGGGCAGGGGGGTGTTAAGGTATACCATACATAAATGGGTTGGGATGTGTTCCGAAAGGAAAACATGAAATAGCTTATTCCTCAGCAAGTGTAGCACCGGCTCTGTGCAGAACAAACAAACTGTGCAAAACACCCTCTTCTCATTCTCAAACTTCGATTTTACTTCCCAACATTTTTGGGAAGGCAGGTGCTGCCGTCTGTATTCCATGTGGGCACGATGTGCACCGAGGGCCCATCAGCTGAATCAGCTGGTTCCTTACGCTGTTATGGATCGCACACGTCAAAGTGAAAGCACCCCTTAATCACATCTCTCAATGGGGCGGTCCACGAACTGTGATTTCTTCCCCAAGCGAAATTTACCTTTTAAAGCCTTCTGTCACAAGAGAAAACCAGTTCCCTGCTCCAGATTTATTGGGCTGATTAAATTAGGCAACCAAGAATAAGCAGCCTGGTCAAAGCAAACATAAAGCAGAGTGGGGCTTTTTTTAATTGACAGTTAAACGGACGACCTCCCCCCGGCCCCCCCCACGCCACCCGTTTCTGTTTAAAGTGTCACTCTGCTGTCTAGAGTAGGGCTTTAAACAGAAGGGGAGGAGCTGAATCGGATGT